AGACAGGGATATGAGGTCAACACTTGACTCGCTGTTGGGAAAATGGTGCCGATAGACTTGCTCAATGTAGGGTTGCCAAAATTTTTCAATTTGTAAACAGCACAATTATCTGTGAAGCATAATAAAATGAGGTATTAGGTTGTTATTGTTTCTGTAACAAAATTATATTTCCGTAGGTCAGAAGTCTAAAATGGGTTACAGAACTACATTTCTTCCTTGAGGCTTTAGGGGAGAATTTGTTTTTTTGTTGTTTTTAGCTTCCAGAGGCTACTTGCATTCCTTGGCTTGTGGCCCCATCCTCCATTTTCAAAGCCAGCAGCATACATCTTCCAAACTCTTTTTCTCTCTGCTTTTGTTGTCATATTTTCCTCTCTCATTCTCCTACTCCCTTGTTACAAAGGTCCTGTGATAACATTGTGTGCACCTGGATAATACAGGATAATCTCCCCCATCTCAGAATTCTTAATTTAATTATACCTGCCAAATCCCTTTTACCGTGTAAAATAATATATTCACAGCTTCTGGGAATTAGGACATGGAAATATTTGGGGAGCCCATTTTTAGCCTATGGCATGTGGTATGTATAAGTCATTGGGTATACAAATGATTTCTGGTAGTATAATGAGAAAAAATTTTAAAGTTTAAGTTTGTGTTTTATGTGCTACATAGAGATGAAAAATGAAGATTCACTAGGTGAACCATGTCCATGGTTTCTGTGTTCAGTAACTCCCAAGACAATTGGGGCTATGTTCACTAACATGCTGTTAGTTATATATTGCTGCATACAAAACTACCCTAAAATTTAGCAGTGCTATGGTTTAGCTCTGTCCCCACCCAAAATCTTATATTGAATTTTAATCCCCATAATCCCCACATGTCAAAGGAGAGGACAGCTGGAGGTAATCGAATAATGGGGGTGGTCTCCCCTATGCTGTTCTCATGATAGTGAGTTCTCACAAGATCTGATGGTTTTTATATGTTTGGTAGTTCCTCCTGCATTAATTTTCCCTCCCACCACTTTGTGAAGAAGGCGCCTTGCTTCCCCCTTAGCCTTCTGCCATGATTGTAAGTTTCCTGAGGCCTGCCCAGCCATGCAGAACAGTGAATCAATTCAACCTCTTTCCTTTATAAATTATCCAGTCTCAGGTAGTTATTTATAGCAGTGTGAAAATGGACTAATACAAGCACTTAAAAATAATTTATTATCTCACGTAGATTTTGGAGGTCAGGACTTGGCTGCAGCTTAGGGAGGTGGTTCTGGCTTAGGGTGTTTCAGGAGATTGCAGTCAGAATGCTGGCGGGGGCTCCAGACACTTGAAGACTTAACTAGCATAGGAGGATCTGTCCTCAAGATGGTTCACTTACATGGCTGTTGGCAAGAGATGTCAGTTCCTCCTTGGCTGTTCATAGGAGACCGTAGTTCCTTGCTACATTGCTTCATTAACATCTCATAGGGCTTCTTGATTGTCCTCAGGACATGGTAGCTTCTTTTAGAGTGCGTAATCTGAGGTAGAAGCTAAAGCCACAATATCTTTTATGAACCGCCCTCAGAAGTCACACATGGTCACTTCTTCCACATTCTAGAAATGTTACTAAGTACAGCCCACACTCAAAGGGAGAGGAATTAGGCTCCACTATGTAAAAGGAGGAGTATCAAATAATTTGTGGACCTATTTTATAGAACCACCACAGCCTACTTGAAGACAAACAATAGACCTTTTAATCATGGCAAATTTTTCTGGACAGATAAATAGATTACAGGGTTGGAACGATGTCAGCAAGATGGTAATATAGGAGGTCACCTGCTTTTATCCCCCAACAATAAGAATCCTTCACCCATCCAGACAAAAGTCTCTTTGTGGAAGCCTCAGGATTCAGGTAGAAGGTTGTGGAAGTGTGATGGAGCCCAAGACCTAGGAGGGTGATTTTTAGAGTGCATACCCATAACCAGTTGACAGACCCATCAATCGTGCTTCCAGACTCAAGCCTGGGGAAATGGCCTCATTCCCCAGAGGGCTTGGTGGTAGCCCCTGCTGGCCTTGAGGCTACCACTAAAACCATCTGCCAGGGTGTTCAGGAAGAATCATGCACACCAGTGCCTCAGCAGGGAAGACTTCTCTGCCTGCCAACATTGGTCTTGGCAGTGGACCTGAAAGTTGCCCTCTGGCTCAGCTCCACCCCTCCTCAGCTGTGGGCCTGGTTTAATACTGCTTGCTGCTGGGAAATTGCTTCCCAAAGGGAAACTTGCCCATATCTCATAGGAGTTACCCGTTCAGCTGAGCCTCTGCAATGGGCTTTCCAGCCTCTGTCCAACAGCAGATTCTGAGACCCAGTTTCAAGTCTGGCCCCACACCCATCTAAGCCAATGGGATGGGTTTGCTGACCTCTGTTCTACGGGGACCCCTGAGGGGGCCCAGTCTCAGCTCCAACTCTTCTTGCCACATATGGGGATTGTCCTGCCTGTGCAGGGAACTACTGGGAGGGTTGTCTATCCAGGCCACTGGGACAGGCTTCTGGGCTTGGGTACCTGGCTAGCTTATCTACATAGCCTAGGTACCTTCCTTCAATCTTCCTCAGGTCCATCCTGGCTGGGGGGCTGTGTCAACCTCAAAAGCCCTTGCAAAACTTGTGGTGAAACTGGACTTAGGGCCCCCTCTAGTGCTGAAGTGGCTGCAACACTCACAGGCTTAGGAAACACAAGTCAGCCTGCCTAGAATTTCTAGACAGGCCTATTGAAGTAAAACAGGCACAAAGAAAGCCAGACTGCAAAGACTGGAATAAATACCTAATACACAGACATCGATGCACATCTGCAAGCATCAAGAATAAGCAGGGAAATTTGACCTCACCAAACAAAATGAGATGCCAGTGACTGACCCTAAAGGGAACTTCAAGAAAACACAGAGAAACAATTCAAAAATTTATCAGAGAAATTTAAGAGAGATATTGCAGTTAAAAAAAACATAGAAATCTAGGAGCTGGAAAATATAATGAAGAGAGTATCATAGCAGAATTAATCAAGCAGAGGAAAGAATCTGTGAACTTGAAGGTAGGTTATTTGAAAATATACTGCCAGAGGAGAAACAAAAAAATAATAATAATGAAAAGGAATGAAAAAAGCTTATGGGATTCATAGGATAACATCAAAAGGGAAAATGTATGGGTCATTGGAGTTCAAGACGAAGTAGAGAAAGACAAAGGCATAGAAAACTTATTTAAATAAATAATAACAGAAGACTTTCCAAACCTGGAGAAAGATACAAATATCCAGGTACAAGAAAGTCATAGGCCACCAATCAAATTTCATCCAACTAAGACCACTCTAAGACATATTATAATCGAATTGTCAAAGGTAAATGTCAAAGAGAGGATGCTGAAAGCAGCAAGAGAAAATAACAAATAACACAAAAGGGACTTTTTCAATACACTTAGCAGCAGACTTCTCAGCAGACACCTTGTAGGTCAGGAGACAGTAGGATGATATATTCAAAGTACTAAAGGAAAGAAAAAAACCCTGTCAACCAACAATAGTGTATCTGGCAAAGCTGTCCTTCAGAAATGAAGGAAAATACTTACCCAAACAAACAAAAGTTAAGGGAGTTCATCACCACTAGGTCTGCCTTACAAACTGTTAAAGGGAATTCTTCAAGCTGAAATAAAAGGATGCCAATGAGTAACTTGAAAACATCTAAAAGTACAAAACTCACTGGCAAAAGTAAGTATATAATAAAATTCAGAATGTTCTAATAATATAACGGTGGAGGGACTACTTACATCCTTACTATTAAGGGAAAAAGTATTAAAAATAATAAACATAAAAATTAGCTGGGCATGGTGGCACATGCCTGTAGTCCCAGCTACTCAGGAGGGAGAGGTGGCAGGATCGCTTGAGCTTGGGAGGCAGAGATTGCAGTGAGCCAAGATTGTGCCACTGCTCTATAGTCTGGGCAACAGAGTGAGACCTTGTCTCAAAACAATAATAATAATAACTACAATACTTTTTAAGGGATATGCAATATAAAATTATGTAAATTGTGACATCAGTAATCAAAGTTATCTGTTTAATATGACATAAATTTTTTTGGTAAACTTTATGGTAAGCATAAAACAAAAACCTGTGATTGATACAGTACAAATTAAAAGGAATCAAAACAGACTGCCAGGGAAAAACACTTAACGACAAAGGAAGACAGTAAGAGAGGAAGAAAGAAAAAGTAGGCAACACAAACTAGAAAATGATTAACAAAATGGCAGTAGTTAAGTCCTTACCTATCAATAATTACCTGAATGTAAAGGAATTAAATTATCCAATTAAAACATATAAAGTGGCTGAATATATATATATATATATATATATATATATATATATGTCACAACTACATGCATAATCCTAATGTTGCACCTCAAGGAACTAGAAAAGAACAAACTAAACACAAAATGAGTAGAAGGAAAAAAAAATGAACAGAAGGAAGGATATAGTAAACATCAGAGCAGAAATGATGAAATAGAGACTAAAAAATACAAAAGATGTTTTTTGAAAAGATGAACAAAATTGACAAACCTTTAGCTAGACTAAGAAAAAGAGAAAAGATTCAAATAAAATCAGAAGTGAAAAAGGAGAAATTACACCTGATACCAGAGAATACAAAGAATTATAAGAGAATATTAACAACTATATGCTAATAAATTAGATAACCTAGAAAAATGGATACATTCCTCAGCACATACAGCTTACCAAGATTGAACTATAAAAAAAAAATAAAAAATCTGAATAGAACAATATGGAATAAGGAGACTGAATCAGTCGTAAAAAGTCTCCTATCAAAAACAGTCCAAGACCCGATGGCCTTACTGCTGAATTCAACCAGCATTTAAAGAAGAATTAGTAAAATTATTCTGAAACCATTTCAAAAAATTGAAGAGGAAGGAATTCTTTCAAATTCATTCTATGAAGTCAACATCACCCTGATTATGAAACCAGATGAGGACACAACGAAAAACTACAGGCCAATACCCTGATCAAAATCGATACAAAAATCCTCAACAAAATACTGGTAAACAAATCCAACACATTAAAAATAATTCATTGTGGATCCTTGCAAATGTTATCTGCTGAGATGCCTCACACAGAGACTGTCTCTCCTTTTCCTTCCTCTATGGATCTGCTTATTCAGGACAGCCCTGATTTTTCCACCAGTCCCAAAGGCAAACAATCCACTGCAGCAGAGAATTGCGCCACAAAAAAGGAAGACAAGGTCGCAGTCAAGAAATAGAAGACCAGAACTGTGTTCTCGTTTACCCAGCTTTGTGTACTCAATGATAGATTTCAGAAACAGAAATTCCTTAGCCTTTAGCAGATGCAAGAACTTTCCAACAGCCTGAACCTTAGCTACAAACAGGCAAAGACCTGGTTCCAGAACCAGAGAATGAAATCTAAGAGGTGGCATTAAAACAACTGACCAAAGAACAGCAATGGTGTGACTCAGAAGGCCTCAGCACCTGCCTACCCCAGCCTCTACTCTTCCTACCACCAGGGATGCCTGCTGGACACAACTGGGAACATTTCAGTGTGGAGCAACCAGACCTGGAGCAATTCACCCTGGAGCAACCAGACCCGGAATATCCAGTCCTGGAGCAATCACTCCTGGAACACTCAGAATTGGTGCACCCAGTCCTGAAACAATCAGGCCTGGAACAATCCCTTCTATAACTGTGGAGAGGAATCTCTGGAATCTCTGCAGTCCTGATTGCAATTCCAGCCAAATTCTGCCAGTGACTTGCAGGCTGCTTTGGAAACTGCTGGGGAAAGCCATAATGTAATACAGCAGACCACTAGGTGTATTAGTACTCCACAAACCATGGATTTGTTCCTAAACTACTCCACGAACATGCAACCTGAAGATGTATGAAGATGAGTGAAATTGATATTACTCAATTTCACTCTGGGCACTGACTGAATCCTTCCTCTCCCTTCTTCCCCTCCTTCATAGGATTTTTTTTGTTTGGAAATCACATGTTCTGGTTTCCATCATGCCTATACAGCCAATTTTATGGAGGATGGGATATGGTTGGAGCCTAATCAGAGAGGTTTCTTTTTTTTTTTTTTCTTATTGGATCTTCCTGGAGAAAAAACATTTTGATAACCTTGGCTGATAAGGACAACATGATAGAAGCTGTCTCTGGCTATAGATAAGTAGATCTAATGCTAGTTTGGATATGTTTAGGGTTTCGAATCTAACCTCAAGAATAAGAAATAAAAGTACAAATTGGTGTGAAAAAAATTCATTATGATCAAGTGGGATACATCCCAGGAGAGCAAGGATGGTTCAATATATACAAATCAATAAATGTAACAAAATGAACAATAAAATCCATATGGCCAATTCAACAGATGCCTGAAAAGATTTGACGGAATCCAACATCTCTTACTGATAAAAACTCTCAATAAATTAGGTATAGAAAGCATATAGCTCAACACAATAAAGACCATATTTGATAAACTCACAGCTAACATCATACTGAATGGGGGGAGAGTTGAAAGCTTTTCCTTTAAGCTTTGGAACAAGACAAAGATGCCCACTTTCATTACTTCTATTCAACATAGTACTGGAAGTTTTAGCCAGAACAGTTTGGCATGAGAAAGAAATAAAAGTCATCGAAAGTAGGAATAAAGAAGTTAGATTTTACATATTTGCAGAGATTTTACATGTCTGCAGATGATGTGATCTTATATACACAAAAACCTAAAGACTCCACCAAAAAACTATTAGAACTAATAAACAAATTCAGTAAAGTTGTGGGGTACAAAATAAACATATAAAAATTAGTATTATTTCTGTATGATAATGGAAAACTCTCTGAAACAGAAATCTAGAAAACAATTCTAATAATAATAGCTACACAAAATAAAATATTTAGGAATAAGTTTAGCCAAAGAGGTGAAACATCTCTACAATGAAAACTATAAAACACTGATGAAAGAAATTGAAGAAGGCACGAATAAATAGAAAGATATTCCATTTATTTTTATGGACTGGATGAATTAATATTGTTAACATGTCTCTACTACCTAAAGCAATCTACCAATTCGGTGTAACTCCTATCAAAATACCAATGACATTCTTAATGGAAATGGAAAAAAAATTCTAAAATTTTTATGGAACCACAAAATGCTTCAAATAACCAAATCAACCCTGAGAAGAAAGGACAAAGTTTTGAAGGCATCATACTGCCTGACTTCAAAATATACTACAAAACTATAGTAAACAAAACAGCATGGTACTGACATAAACAGACACATAGACCAATGGAACAGAATGAGGCCCAGAAATAAATCCACAGATTTGCAGCCAGCTGATTTCCAACAAAGGTGCCAAGAACACACCTTGGGCAAAGGATAGTCTCTTCAATAAATGGTGCTGGGAAAACTTAATATGTACATGTAGAAGTATGAAAATTGACCCTTATCTCTTAACCATATAAAAAGTCAACTCAAGATGGATTAAAGAGTTCCATGTTAGTCCTGATAATATAAAGTTATTAGAAGAAGGCCTAGGGGAAAAGCTTCATGACCTTGGTCTGGACAAGAATTTTTTTTTTTTTTTTAAGAAAACTCAAAAGCACAGGCAACAAAAGCAAAAATAGATAAACAGGATCACAGCAAATGACAAAAGCTTCTAAATAGCAAAGGAAATACTCAAGAGTGAAGACACGACCTACAGAATGGGAGAATATATTTGCAAAGTATACATCTGATAAAGGCTTAATATCCAAAATATATAAGGAACTTAAATAACTCAACAGCAAAAAAAAAAATCCAATTTAAAAATGGGCAAAAGAACTGCATAGACATTTCTCAAAAGGAGACATACAAATGGCCAACAGATATATGAAAAAAAAAATGCTCAACATACTAGTCATCAGTTAAATGCAAATCAGAACTACAGTGAAATATCACCTCACTCCTTAGAATGGCTATTATAAAAAAAAAAAGATGAAGATGTAGATAAAAAGGAAGCTTTACAAACTCATAGTGGGAATATAAATTATTATAGCCATTGTGGAAAACAGAATAGCGGTTCCTCAAAAAATTATAAATAGAACTATCATATGATCCAGCAGTTTCACTACTGGGTATATTTCTAAAGGAAATGAAATTAGTGTGTTGAGGAGACATCTGTACTCCCTTGATTATTACAGCACTATTCACAAAAGCCAAGATGTGGAATCAACCTAAGTATCCATTAGTGGATGAATGGATAAAGAGTATATGGTATATATACAAAATGGAATATTAGTCCGCCATAAAAAGAACAAAATCTAGTTATTTGTGACAAGTATGAACCTGGGGGACATTATGTTAAGGAATATAAGCCAGGCACAGAAAGACAAATAGCACATCATCTTCCTCATATGTGGACTCTAAAAAACTAATCTCATAGAAATTGAGAATTTTATTACATCATTCACCATAGAATGGCCTAGAGGCTGGGCATGGTGGCTCATGCCTATAATCTCAGCACTTTGGGAGGCCTAGGCAGGTGGATTACTTGAGGCTAGGAGTTCGAGACCAGCCTGGCCAACATAGTGAAACTCCATCTCTACTAAAAATAAAAAATTAGTTGGGTGTGGTGGCACATGCCTATAATCCCAGTTACTTGGGACTCTGAGGCACAAGAATGACTTGAACCCAGGAAGTGGAGTTTGCAGTGAGCCGAGATTGCGCTGTGGCACTCCAGCCAGGGGGACAGAGTGAGACTCCATCTAAAAAAACAAAAACAAAAACAAAAGATCTAGAATATTATAGAGGATATTCTGTTTTAATCTATTGTGTATTCCACACAAATTTGTACCATGCTCATATATCAGATGTACTCAAATTGTTTTTACATTAGTTAAGCTCTTTTGGGTGGACAAAATGCTATTGTTTACTTAATGCATCCAGCATAATGTCTATTTATATTGTAGATCCTCTAAATACAATCATAAAGTCTCTCCGTATTTTAATTCATCCTATATTAAAATATTAATTAATCATCATGCTATTTCTTTGCTCTATGTCATTGTTATGTTATTCAAAATCAAAATTCATAAGCATGATGTCAATGAGATGGTGGAATAAGGGGCTTCTGACTTTGGCTTTTTCCACAGACACATTAGAGTAAACAGCTATACCAAGATCAGTTTCTTTTGAGAGAAACAAAAAAAGTAGTTGAGAGTCTCCTACACACCGAAAAACTGAAATATCAAAATGTATGGGAAAAGTTGAAATTCACTTGTGCCACAAACCTCACCCTGGGCACAATACCTTGCAATTACAAGTGAATCCTAAACTCCCAGATTCTCTCTGAGAAGTAAAGGGTCTGGAGGACATATACCATCTCAACTCTTTTCCTTCCTTCCCTTCCTTCTCTTTTCTTTTCTTTCTCAGGGTCTCTCTCTGTTGCCTAGAATGGAGTACAGTGGCACAATCTTGGCTCACTGCAGCCTCGACCTTGTGGGTTCAAGAAATCTTCCCACCTCAGCCTCCCCATCCTGAGTACAGGTGCACACCACTACATCTGGCTAATTTTTGTATTTTTTTGTGTGAAGATGGGGTTTCACCATGTTGCCCAGGCTAAAAACACTTTCTGAGTCTTCTTTCCCTGGCTTACTACAGCAATAAAATCAAGTGTCCACCTTATCCCTGGAAGGAGTTCTTCCACACATTTAGCACAACTTGTACAGCTCCCACCCAAAAAACTGGCTCTTATATCACCTAATTCTGGGAACTAATGGGGTTTAGCATGTGTGTATCCTTCATAGCCAGAGAAAAAGAGGTGGTTTTAAAAGAGTGTATGAGTACTTCCAGCAGCTAATCTTTCTGGCTTAATGCAGAGTGAGCAGGCAAAAACACCCAGCTTACAATTTCTCCCTAGAAAAGTCTTGACTGCACACATAATGTTGTGACTTTACCAGGCTTTTAAGACTGGGAGAGATGGTTGTTTTATTTAATGTGCAGAAACCAACATAAAGAATCAAGGAAAATGAAGAAACAGGGAAATACATTCCAAACGAAAGACCAAAACAAGTCTCCAGAAATAAAGGATATGTGATGATATATAGGTTATGTGTAAGATATATATGAAATAAAGGATTATTCAAAATAATGGTCAAAAAGGTGGTATAGGAGAGCTATGTATGAACAAAGTAAGAACTTCAACAAAGTGAAAGGACATACAACAACAACAACAACAACAACAACAACGACAACAAATCTAAGGGAAGCCATAGAACTGAAGACCATAATGACTGAACTCAAAATTTTAGTAGAGGGTTTCCATAGAAGACTAGGTTATGTGCAAGTAAAGATTACCAAACTCAAATACAGAGAGTTGGAAATCATCCAATCAGATAAGTAAAAAGAATTAAAAAGAGTGATGATAGCTTAAGGGACTGATGGGACATCATCAAGCAATTCAATATATGCACTATGGAAGTTCCTGAAGGACAAGTGAGAGAGAAAGGAATAGTAAGCTTATTCAAAGTAATAATGGCTAAACATTTCCCAAGCTGGGGAATAAAACAGACATTCAGATCCAGGAAGCCAGTGGACAACAAATACAACGAATCAAAAAAGGCTTACATTGAGATATATTATAATCAAATTTCCAACAGTTAAATATCACGAGAATCGTGAAAGCACTGAGAGAATAGTGACTTGTTATGTACAAAGGAATTCCATGAGACTATCAGCAGATTTTTTTAGCAAAAACCTTGCAGGACAGAAGAGTATGGGATGACATATATAATGTGAAAGAAAAAAAAAAAACCAACCACGTATACTATATCTGGCAAACATGCCTGTCAAAAATGAAACAGAAATAAAGACATCCTCAGATGATCAAAAGCTGAGGGAGTTTATCATCATATCTGCCTTACAGGACATGCTATTGGGAATTTTTCAAGTTGAAATAAAAAGATGAAACTCACTGGCAAAGGTAAACACTGGAAAAAACAGTATATTTTACCTCTATAATGATGATGGTAAATCTCTCTTAATTCTAAATAAAAGTTAAAAGACAAAAAACTTTAAAAAAAAAGATATAACATACATTCTTCTCAAGCACACATTGAACCCTTTGCAGGACAGATTATATGTTAGGTCCCCAAACAAACCTTAATGTATTTAAGGAGATAATTACACTAAGTATCTTTTGTGACAACAATGGAATCAAACTAGAAATCAGTAACAGCAATAAAATGTGAAAATTCACAAATATGTGGA